TATTCCACCTAGTTTTGGCGTCCCTTCTATCATGACGCCCATATGTGTGGCTCAAACCCACTTTTTGCACCTCTGCCTGTGATATCGGAAAACAAAAGTGAGCGTGCTGATCTGATCTGCAGCAGCAACGAACTGAACCCCTGCTGAGCCTCACCAGGCAGTCCTTACACCTGCATCTGTACAGATACGACCAACATGTGCAGATCACGGTCATCAAAGTTAACTACAACTAACGACATGATGAAAATAAGAAAACATTTCTAACAGAAATAAATAAAACTGATAATTAATTGGGAAAAACCATAGCTAAGAACATTTTCCTTTGGTTCAGATCTCCTTATGTGGAACCAACAACTCCAGCACTAGTACTCACTGTTTTATGACTGAGGAGCATCAGCTGTGAGATGAAAGATTATTTCAGGTACACCTAATGTTATTATGAAGGCCTTCTGCAAGAAGCAAAGACAGAAAGGGTTTTAGGTGAGTGTGAGAGATGACAGATTTCCAAGAGTGAATTTTATTTCTAATTCAGCCAGAAAGTGAACGGTTCAGTTTCATCTCCAGATTTCATTCAAAAAACAGAGAATTGTGTGACCAGGGAATCCATGTCCCTCAGAGATTTCTGTTGCTGATGAATCAGGTTGTAATGTTATGAGCCTCAGGTTTGTGCCAGACATTAGGTCAAAACACCGTCCTTCAGTTACATCTACCACCAGCTTTTCACAGACGGACGTTTATGTTTTGAGCAAAATATAAGTTAGCATTTAACTTTGTGCAATGGATTTTTTTTATTTTTTTTTTATTTTTTATTTTTTTTTTATTTTTTATTTTTTTTGCACCTTGGCTCTTTTGCTCCTTCTGAAATATTCACTAATAGACTTTTATTGATTTTCTCATCGTGTCACACTAGGAGGCAGAGTTTAAGAAATGACCTCAAACTACACCCATAGCTGTGCCTCCATTTAACGTAGATATTTAAAATCAGATTTCAGAAGCTCACAAAGCAATTGTGTCAGTATGTGGGTTTTCCCAGTTTGCTGATGGGATATTACATCTGTGTTTATTGTGATTCCATCTGTCATATTTAAGCTTAAACCAAGCAAAAATGTCCAGTTCCAAGAACTGTCTAAAATTAGACTTAAAATAAAAAATTCAAAAGGGTCCCTCCAAAAAATGTAGAATGTAAAACATTCAGAAAAAAATAAACTTAAAAAGTCAAACTAACATTAAAATTTAATTGAATTTTTTGTTTTTATTTGTGGTGTTGCAGCAATACTGTCAGTATAGTTTGCTTTTTTTTTTCAAATAGAGAGAGTGATGAAATATTGATGTATTTACTCTGTACTGATTGATGTAGCGTAATATTTTAGTCCAATGTGTAAATTAGCAATGGAGCAGTTCAGAATGTGCTCTGACATCTTCACAGAGCATGTTACAGTTTGTCGCCACAAGAAAAATGTCAGCTGTGCAGCAGGAATCATAATTACCAAGCAGAACTGTGCAGAGAGGCTGCAGCGCTGACACAATGTCAGCAAGGCTGACGAGGAACGGCGTTTAGATTGGATTTAAATAAAAAAAATCTGATCCAACAATAACAAAAACCTGGATAACAACTGTCCAAAGCCCCTGATTTATTTATATGTAACAAGCACCATGAAAACGATCCTGTCAGTGGGGAAACAAACGGCCAGGTAAGTGAAATGTCACGAGTTGGAGATAAGTTACTGTCACACAATTTCTTTGCTATGCTTCTGGATCTCAAAAACAGATCCAGTAAAACCAATTCCAGATATAAACAAAGCGTTGACTTTTGAAATAAATACCAAATTTAGTATTTACACTGTGTATGAAAATAAATGGTTTCAACTGTATCTGGGAAAGATTAAATATTAATCAGTCATAACCTGTGGTGAAATAAGGCTGCACTTTTAGCTTTTAGCACACAAAGATGCTTTGAGACACATATATGGATTTTTTTTTCTTCCCAGCCATAACTTTACATCTGCTCAAAATCTGCAGGTGCCTGGATTTCACCCTACAGTCTACACAAACTTGAAAAAACACAGTTTATGTATTTGCTCCAGTTTGGGCTTTGTAAATGATGCAAAAAACAAAACAAACAAAAAAAAAACACATAAGGCATATAATGCATTTCTCCAGAAGATTTAGATTTAAAATGCAATATTGAGTGAAAACACCTTCATTGCCATCACAGCAACCCTTTTCTTTTTCTTAGCAGCTTCTCCATGTGTCCTCTGGTATGATTCATGTCTGAGCTCAAAGCCATTGAGGCTGGAAGGCCTCTTTACCATCACCCTAATATATTCAAACATTAATATCCAGTCCTTTTTCAGTCAGATGTTGGTCAATTCAAAGTTTTAGTGGAAACCCAAACTTGTCAAATATGTACAAAAATGACAATCATAACCGAGCATGTATATGTGTTAGCTATGACATCGTTTTTAATCAGTTAGATTTAAAACATATACAGTCAGTCAATACCTATAAACACATCATTGATATGGTTTCCAGGGGTGTCAAACTCCAGTCCTCAAGGGCCGCTGTCCTGCAGTGTTTAGATGTGCCACAGGTAAAAAACAGTGGAATGAAATGGCTTAATTACCTCCTCCCTGTGTAGATCGGTTCTCCTGAGCCTTGCTAATGACCTAATTATTCTTTTCAGGTGTGGTGCAGCAGAGGCACATCTAAAAGTTGCAGGACAGCGGCCCTTGAGGACTGGAGTTTGACACCCCTGGTTTAGACCTACATTCAGCCTACAAACCAGCCTGCTGATGTCCAGAAAACCATAAACTACCTTTCCTTCTACATGTACAATCTAACCTGATGTGAAGCGATATGAGCAGATAAGTGCTGTATTCTAACAGCTAGAGCATCTCTGCTGTGATAAATCTTCTGTTTGCAGCTCAATGATAAACCGTCGTTCTGCCTCCAGAAGCTCTGCGCTCCACCGGTGCTGTGTGGTTATCGCTCTGCTCTGTATGTCCAGAGAGGAGGACAGGAAGAGACGGAGCGTTCCAAACACACTGGAGGTGATATGATAAAAGCATATCTCCATCATGTAAACGCTGCTCCAGCTCACTACAGTCTATGGGCTTTATCTCAAGGGAATTGCAATCTAATTGTTTGTATTCTATTGTGTAATTCAAGCATTTGTTTATCATCTCTTTAAAGCTGAATTATGGAACTTTTATAAAAAATATGTTTTTTTACTTACTTGTTTAATATATAATATCATTAGTTGTAATGGTATAATACAGTCTGCCATCTGTAAAAATGCACCAGTCCTGGTCAGAAACAACCAATCAGAGCCAGGAGGAGGGACTTAGCGCTGTCTATTAAGCTGGTGTATGCAATGTTCTATGTGTTAATGCTGGAGAAATATCTTACCATTACAGGTAATAATGGAGGCTTATCAGCCATGCTAACTGGAGTTAAACTAGCAGAGAGCAAGTGGGAGAGTACCAGCAGAGGATACACAAGGATGATTGACAGTGCTATAAGATTACAACATAACATAATGCTCAAAACAGTCTATTTTAAATAATACTGCCCCTTTAAGAAATATGTAAAAACATGTCTAAGAGTTACAAACTGCAGCTTTAAACATCAGAGTCCTGTCATTGTGTTAAACTAGTCCTCATGCAGAAGCAGAAAGCCTTGAGTCAGCAGTGAGGATCATCTGTAATCACACTGCTTCAGCCTGCTGCAGGCTGGACGCTGCGGACGTGCAGCTCTGAGCTGCTCCTGGATCAGCGGAGGTGAAGGTTTCTTTGCACAGTGATTAAGGGGGAGGACCAATGGCAACAAAGGAGACGGAGAGGACGGTGCCTCCTCCTCTCTCTCCCTCTCTCTCTCTGAGCTTTCTGCATGTATATAATCCCTGAGTTGACCCAGAAAACAAACTCTTCTTTAGATCGAGAAGCCGCACAGTTTGAATCCGCCGCAGGCTGCATGTATCCGGAGCATCAGCTGAAGGGACGAGCTGGGACTTAACGAACTTCTCCGAACGATTTCACTTTACGCCATCGGGTAGGTGATCGCTTCTGTTCGTCCTTATCAAAAAAAAAAAAAAAAAAAAAAAAAAAAAAAAAGGGCAGAGAGTCAGGCAGCATTTTCTCTTTGTCCTGACACACATAGTGCGTCTCTGCGTTATAGAAAGAAAGCAGCCGGATCGTTAGCAGGTAGATCTGCTGTGACATGAGAGGTGACAGAGAGCGGAGGGATCGCTGGCTGTTAGAAACAGCAGCGCTGATTAGGATCGTGATCTGATGCTTCATGGATGCCGAGCAGAGCAGTGTGTGTGTGTGTGTGTGTGTGCGTGTGTGTGTGTGTGTGGGATTCACAGTCGCTAAACGACAACAAACACACTGGGGATCATTCACAGCACATCGGTCATGTGAGGAAATGTGGGGCTGTGTGTGTTTGTGTGTGCGTGAACAGGATGTGTTGTTGCTGTGGTAATCGAACTTCAAGCAAGAACATCAGAGATGACTGTGAATGCAGAGGCAGTGTGTTGTGTTTTGAAATCAAGAGAGAAAGAAGTTGGTGTGTATGTGTGTGTGTATTTCAGTCCTCCAAGCTGCAGTGTTTCTTCCCCCCACCCATCATGTCTGACAGTGGTAGTGGTAATTCTTGAATGGTGTAATTTTTGAGGTTTTGTAATGCTCCCTGTGTTTCTGATGCATTTCCTCTGCCATATTTCATCCACAAACTTCACTGTATTTTCTGTAACAGAGCAGGATGTAGAAGTTTATACTTGTGAAGTGGAACAAAAATTATGCATATTTTCTTTTTCTGTTTTGTGTACAATAAAACTTCTGAACACTGTCCTATTTCTGTATTCTGCCCCTCCTGAGTCTGTCCTGTGCAGCACCACCTTTTGGCCGCAGATACAACTGCACGTCTTTCGTGTTTCTAAGTTGGTTTTCCCGTTTAGCATACGAAAAAAAGTGCGTATAAATACTAGAACGGAATGCAAATCCAAATAACACTAGGAGCAATGTAGTTTACATGCCAGGCCTGCAGGAGGCAGTGAAAATTTTGAGCTTTCTAATTTAGCAGAGTATTTTCATGCGGTAAATGTTTCATATAGAGCAGATTTTGCTTCAACACACTAAATGAAGTGAAGAGGTGCAGCAGCACAGAGACAGCCATCCTCCATTATTGTTGTGCCAAATCAAAACTAGATGTGCAATAAGCTGACATGACTTGCATCATCCAAATGTTTTTGGTTTTCGTTTAGGTGGATATGAATAACATTAAGGCCCCGCGCACACAGAAACTAGCATGGCATACTGTAAACGACTGAGAAAAAAAATCTGCATTCACATAAAATGTAGCTCTTCTGGACCAATCGCTGTAACACTGCAAGCGAACAACGCAAAATACACCAGTCAAAGCCATGTTTGTTATTTGTGAGTGTAAGGAAGACAAGGCCGCCATGGAAACATGAAACCAGCGTTTATCCAATCTGGAACCCAGCTTCAAAAATGATCATTTGTGGGATCCCAGGGAGCTAATCCATGTAGATGCACAGACACAAAACGTTAGGAGATATACCAAAAATCGTCTCCAGGCCTGAGTTCAAAAAGTTTTACTCTGGAGTCCGTTGTTGAACCTTTGTGTTTTTGTTCAGTCAAAAATGTTCTTACCATGTAAACGAGAGACCAAAACGTTGTTGCCATGTAAACGAGAGGCCAAAACGCATGAAAATATTGGCATTTTACTGTCCTGGTGTTGTCTCGTAACAGGCCTGAAACCTAAGTTAGATTGGATTATAACATCCGCTATAGACTCTTAACTTAGAGCCCTAATAAGATTAGCTCTGTACTTTGACTGGGCCATTGTCACCCACAGGTATGAATGATGGTTCTAACTGTGGTAGGAGATCATACCACAATTGATTCAATCCTCACTCCATCCGTCTCTGTTGTTGTGTCCTTTAGCAAGACACTTGGGGGTCAGAGGGTCCAGAGGCAACGGGGAATGGCAGCTCTGGTGCCACTGGGCTGCCCTGGGCTGAGCCGGTAGCTTGTCCGGTGAATGTGTGTGTGAATGACTGAATGTAGATTGAAGCGCGTTGGGGTCCTCTGGACTTGATCAACTCTGACCAGCTTCACTGTCTTCATCATCAGGTTTCACTGTGTGGATGGTGTGTTCAGAGTGCAGTGGTAGCTTTCACCACACAACATTTTGCATGCTGACCAAAGAATACCAGTATCTGGCCTCAAGTGACCAGGCCACCTTCTTCTGCTGCTCTCTTTCATGGGTGGTGGCAAACTACAAACAGAACTTCTTCCATAAAAACCAGGAGACATGAATTCTCTATCAATAAGTTGTATAAGTTGTTTATTGACCAATAATAAATCTGTAGAAGCATTGTATTCCAACACAGGTTGTTTTGTTACTCAAAAATGATATTTTTAAGTCGGATTTTGCCATACTTTGTATAATCTTGCTGACATCATTGGAGGAATAATTATGGCTATGTGTTTTCACGTCATTTTTTCAGGGAAGACTTAACAACCATGGCTGAACACATGATGATGCCCATGTCTCACGGTTTCCGGATGGGCGTGAACGGACCAGCGCAGCACAACGGCCAGCCGGGCCTGCGGGGGCTGCCTAATGGCCAGGTGTTGCATTACGGCAGGAACCCTCAGAATACCACAGAGGGGGTCATGAGACAGAGACCGAACATTATGGGACCGGGAGGCATGGGCGTGAATGGAGCTCCAATGACCAACCATCACCATCAGATGATGCATGGGAACATGATGTATAACGGCCAGGGCCAGCAGCAGCACCACCACCACCACATGCACCCCCAGCAGCAGCAGCAGCAGCAGCAGCAGCAGCAGGGTGGACACCCGCCGCAGTATCTCCCTGGCAACCTCACGTCGCAGCAGCTCATGGCGAGCATGCACCTACAGAAACTCAACACTCAGTATCATGGACACCCGCTGGGGTCGGCCAATGGTCACCACCTGCCCAACGGGGCACAGTACCGGATGGGGCCCGCCCAGTTGTCCGGCATGCAGCACATCAGCGCGCCTTTCGGGGTGAACGGAATGGACATGGACCTGATCGATGAGGAAGTTCTGACCTCGCTAGTGTTGGAGTTAGGCTTGGATCGTGTTCAGGAGCTGCCTGAGCTCTTCCTGGGACAGAACGAGTTTGACTTCCTATCAGACTTTGTGTGTAAACAGCAGTCGAGCACGGTGAGCTGTTGAGGAGAGCAGAGTGGTTTGTTCCACCTGGACACCCAAAGAGTGACTGAGTGGCCACAGTAGCACAGCAAAAGCAGACAATCTCTCTGTTCTGTTTGGGTGTTTCTATGTTTATGTACATGACAGCGATGAGTGCGCCTTCAAACTGACCTACCTGCTAAGCGAATGGAGAATTGTAATGAGTAAAAAACAGGGAAAGTGCCAGGTTTCTGTTTCCTTTAGATGGAAGCCAGGAAGATCTGTCGCTTTTGGATAAATTGAGGCATCCAGATGTTGCAGGTTCTGCCTGTAACATCTGGCCTTCAGCACATGTGCCTACAGTACCAAAGCTTTGGGTTAGATTTCACAAATGCAGTAGGGAACAATGACCTGATGATTCTGATTCTGTGGCATTTGTAAATGTGTCTTAGCTCTGATTACACCGTCGACTGGAAGCAAACATCTTACAGTTTATCACAAGCTAAAAGTCTTCTGGGATCAGTTATGCAGGAATGAAGGGAGTTTGGAATGTCTTTTATGTGGATTTTGAAGGCTGGTTCTTCAAAAAGTAAAAAAAAAATCTACTCATATAAAGTAAAGTGAGGTTTGCTAAATTTCTAAGTGGTTATTATGAGGTTATGTTGAATTGTTTGAGTAATCATCTGGAATCTGTTGGGAGTAATGTAGAGGTTGAATGATTCTTCGGCCCTGACCTTTCACCCCAGCCAGTCAGAAACTCCCAAAAATCAAATTTTTATTTTGATCAATTAATGCAACACATTTCTGCTCTATCTCTGAACACTGTTCGACATTGGAGTTGTTACTGACAACATGTTGAAAATGTCTGAGGTTCTTTCAGACTGTAAAACCTCCAAGAGATAACAGGAAGGCTGAATTTAGTAGCTGAAGGTTTCTGTCTTTTATTCTTATAACTTTCAACATGGAACACACTGGATTAGGAAATGTTTGTAGCCTTTAGCTTCCTCTGAAACTGCGGTTGTAGTATTGCTAGCCCTGCTGATTTAGTCATTCTTTTTAAGCGCTAAAGCTAATTTCAAATGTCAACTTGTAATCATTTTGTAAATTAAAATAGTAAAAGACTGTTTTACACTGACTGAATGCTCTCTCATACACACACACACACACACACACACAAAGTGTGACATCGTCTCTGCCACTCCAACAAATAATGTTTGTAGCACCGGAAAGGCTAGAAGGAAATATTTAGGATGATGTTCGTTTGACATTTTATATTGTTGTTCTGGAAGAGAAATGGGAATTGATTAAAATGAATATTAGCAGAATAAAGCTGAGATGGGAAATTGGTTGGAAAAATGTGATCGGTGCGTCTTCAGATTAAAGGTGTTTTTACACTTGATGGTCCAGTAGACGCGGTTTGATTGAGGAGCAAAATTTGTTCCATGCTCAACTTTCATATTGCACGATGTGAAACGAACCAAACACTTTGAAAAACCTGTTGCCCTCCTCACCTGTGGTGGCTCTGCATCAAGAGCCACTGAAGGAAACAACACAGAAACCTCTGAAGAAGAGATGACAGCAACTTCCTTGTTCATGAAATGTAAACAGTAATGGAGTAGAGTCAGATTTTAGCGTGGATTTTTTTGTTGTTGTTTTGGCTACAGGGACGAGTCATTTCTCCTGCTAGCATTAGACTAGCATGTTTATTTTGGTTGAATTTACCCAGAATACCCTGTGCTGTGGTCTACTTCCTGCTTTTGTAGGGATCTCATGCACATTCAAACTGAATCAGAGTTCACTTCCACTGAACCCAGACCTAGGTTTATAGATGGACCAGGGATCGCTTTTTTGGTCCTAATCAGAGTTTGATTAGCATTCACACCTCCCCAAACAAACCGGACTTCCTAGACAAATGGACTGGAGTTGGATTAAAGTGGACTGAACAGGACTGGTGGGAATGAAGCCTAAATGTATCAAATTTAATTTACTTCAATTATTGTCTTGAAATGTCACTGCTACAAGTCAAATGCATTTGGCCGTATATGTATGTAAGATTAAATGTATAAAAACCAACAAAAACACAAATTCATATTGTATTTCTATACAGATTTGCAAAACAGAAAAACGATTGATCACAGACTGTGCATCTGTATGTTTTTAGAGCTTAGTTGTTGTTTTTTTTCCCTGTGTGTGTACATCAGTGCATTTAAATCCCATCGAACGATGTCCACATCCACACACCCATCACCTGTACCATCAGGCTGGCTAGCAGCACTTAGCTTAATCATTGTTAAAAGCTGCCTCTACCTGTAGAGCCGATGTGCTGGAGCTCTAGTCATGTCTTATAGCTTCGCTTCCTCGGCTGTTGTTCCTGCTGATCGGAGTTAAACTACACGTTTATCACGCTTGTCTTAATTGAGCTGGTTGTGGATGCTATCTGATGACTCAGTCATTGGAAAACCAACACACTCTGTGGTGCTTTTTTCCCCCCTTTCTTTTCTCGACATGTGAAAACCTCCCGCTTTTGCAGGATCAGTGTCAGAGGTCAGCGCCGCGCCGGTGCGCCGCAGTAATCTGCTCCTGCACGGCCGCGTTGGCGCCCCCTGTCTGTAGAAAACAAGCCTGCCGGTGACGCTGATGTGGAGACCGGCACGAAGTACTGCAGTCTGCAACAGAAGCACCTCACTGTCACAACGATTCTGGCCTAAACCCAACAGTGGCCTGATTACTGTATTGTATCTTTGTACTGTAGGCTAGAGGTAAAGCTGATCTGAACACATTAAGGTACTTTGGCAGAAAGCTCTAAATCAGTGGCTGATTTTTGATGTGCTGACAAGAGATTATACTCTTTGTTTTCTTACAGTATGTAGATACAGTAGAGCGGTGGTTTAGGGGGTGTGGTCTAAAGCTTTCACATGGACTGCATGTCTTAAGGATGCTATCACCTTTCAACCGAGCTACTGAGAATGTACAGACCGCTGCTTTGTGGGAACCTGTCTAAAGATGGTAGATTAACGTGAGATTGTACTTCCTGTTCCTACCCAACACCCCTTTCTCCCCCATTTCTCACCCCTCCCACACTTCCCTGACCTTTTTTAATGTTATTGATTCTATTTTAAGAAAATGTATTTATTTTCAAATAAAATATTTATTTAAAAACCATTTTTTCGTTGTTTCTTTGTCATGTACGTTGCCGCTGTCGGCCCAGAAGATCGAGGACGGAAGAACAAAACGCATCAAGAAAAGATGCACGTTTTAGGAAACGCATGCGGAGGTTTCACCTCTGTCTGAGTTGTTTGGTTTTAAATAAGCCCCGCCCTAAATGACATAAGTAAACACAGGAGTAAAGTTCAAACTTCACAACGTGAGCCAGCACTGGAAACAGAGGAGTGTTTTCTTTTAGTTTCACATCAGCTGACGACCCAAACACTGGAGCCCAGTGAAAGTTAAGAAGTGTTTTGGAAAAAGATTTCTCAAGTGCTAACTGATCATATCACCTGGTTGGGTCATTTAAAATGGTGAGATCAGAAAAACCAAAATATTATGTGCACATTTACTCTATATATTCATTTTATATAGTAAAATTAATAACATGGTCATACAAATAAATAATAGTTAGAAAATACCAAATTCAGGCCGTAGCAACACTTCTCGGAGATATATTTTTTTTCAATATAAAACTTGTGAAAACTAATATTTACATTATTAGCGTACAGTTCCTGTATAAAATATTCACCCCTGGATGTTTTACCCTTTTAAATGCTTTTGCAAATCAATCATGATCAATAAAAACATGTATAAAGAAACAAATCTGTGATGTCAAAGTGAAGCTGTCAGGTTTTGTGGGTGGGGGATATCAGCCGTGAACAGGTCTGGGCTTTGACTGGGCCACTCTTGTTGTTTTCAGAGCGTCTCTGTGTATCTTTAGCTGGAAGCTTCGGTTTGTCATCCTGCTTGATGATAAATGTTCTCTGAACCTGAAACTCTCTGGAAGATGGAAACTAAATGTAGTCCAGGATTTCCTGATTTTCTCATCACCACTCTCCTATGAAGCTTTGACCGGTGAACAGATCTAAAGACACATCACTGGTACTTATGAGGCCATTTTTATGGAAATTCAGAGCAAATATTGCAGAAGAAATTTGTTAAAAACCTGAATTTATCATTATATCTGTATTTAAAAACATGAATTAGTTTGTTTTAACTTTTTTCCTGATATTAAGATCCATCGTGGAAAGTCCAAAGAGTCACTTTTGTCTCCGGAGCTGCAGGTCTCAAAATCTCACCTTGCTCAGTCCAACCAAGCAGGTCAAAGTTGACTCTTCTGATCATAAAGGTTTTTGCCGTTTTTATTTCTTGTCCACTGAGAGTGAAACGGACCTTCAGCATGATGCTGCCATCACCACACAACCCTGAAAAAGGATCATTCAAAAGAATCTTTAAAACGGTAAATTAATATAACGTTTATGCTCATGCTGAGTGTAAGTAAGCTTCTCACTGACAGTGTATTCACATATGTGGGAACTACAAAGTTAATTATGTTTAAAGATTCTTTTAAGGGTATTTAAAAAAAAAAGTTTACCAATGTAGTCTCAAGTTAAGATCCTAATTATCGACCTTCTGTTTCAGTGAATATCTTCAGTGTGCCTGGTGGTCTGCTCATGTAATGGCTGTTGTTGGCTGAGAGCATCCATGTAATAAAACTTAAAGTGAACAGACCCTCTGTAAGGAAACATTAAACCAGATCATCACGTCTAACAATCAAACCCAGTTCAGTTTTATGACAGATCGTTTAACACAGAGACAGTCAGAAAAGTTATTACTTTAAATCAAAATACACAACCTTGCTGTACAAATAATGATACAAATAATGAGAATAATAAAACAAGAGATAATCATTTAAAGGATGGTGATTAAAGATGGGCAGATCATGATCCACTCTGTTTCCCAAACCCTGGTGGAGCCGCTCTCCCTCCTCTCACCCTGCAGCAGAGTGACGCATGCCAACGTTCACTCTGCTAATGTCTGATTTTTACTCCAGTTCTTCAGCTACGTCTCGCCATGTGCCAAAACAAGTCTCATCACTTTTAGCTCTTATTCACTGCATGACTCACCTCATAATACTCTTGACATTTGAAGGCATAATAAAACCAAAGATGCTCAGTGATCTGAGGTATGTGGACACAGGTACTGACTGCAGATGTGAAATCATGGGGAAGCGTTCCAGTTATGAATCAAATGAACTATTTGTTGGGACTTCTTGATGGAACTGAACAACATCTGAGCAGAGGCAGACTAGTATTGTTTGAAAAGTGTGTGTTCAGGTGAGTCAGATGAAGTCATAATTACAGGTCTGGATGTGTGTGAATCTTGCCTTCTTCTAAATGGCCCTGAAGCAAACAGAAAAACAGCTGAAAGTGGAACTTTCACAGCTGCTGTGAACCGACAAAAAGAGTAACCTTAAGAAATGATCTGGATGGACGTGATCTGACACACAGATTCAATTTACAAGAAAGCTGGAAAACGGACAGCAGGGCATTTTACCAGGTTACGTTCTTTTCAAAGTGCCCTGCGTTCACTGCACAGACTGAGCGTGAAATACGTTTCAGCAGGATTTCCAGATAGAAAAAGATCTTCCACATGTTAAACCACAATTTCTAATCACAAATCTTGAAGCTGTGTGTTTTCTTTGAAACGTTTAGAGTAAATTGTGTTTTTTGTAATGGTAAAAAATTGAATGTTTCAAGTGAAATACTTTGAAAAGGAATGCAGGAACACCCCAAGGCTCAGTTGTTGACCCCGTAGTATATAGAAATAATGAAAGATATATTTGTTCTATTGGATGTTTTCTGGTTTATGCTAAATGATGGAATTTTGCATAGAGGCTGTTGTATAAAAGTAGTTAAAACCTCACAGATGTCCAAAGTTTTCTAGTTGCTAAATTTAAATGTTTCAGCTCATGAATAAATTTTAATATCAGATGATGATTCTATTCATTGAGAGAAAACAGCCACATTAACAACCTGTTAATGTTTACAATAACTTCTGATGAGTCTGTTAAGTTGCAGTGGAGGTATTCTGATCTGACCAACTTTTTTTGCAGAACTATTCCAAATTCAGGGTGGAGGAATGTGTGATTGTGAACATGAAATCTGTTTAAAGTCACACCTTCAGCATCTCAACCAGATTTAAAATTTGGATCATAAAAGGAAAAACCAAACATCTTCCAGCGCAACCACTGAACCTCAGAGGAACAGATGTCAGTGAGGAGCTGAGCGTCTTGGTGTTCATTAGAACAATAAACCGGACTGCTCTCATAACACAAAGCACTCTGCAAACAAAGGCAGCGCAGGCTGCAGCTGCTGAGGAGGCCAAGGCGACTCCTGCTACTGACT